GACGCTTTCAATAGTTTCAGCCACGATTATCATATGTCATTGATTAGGTACTTTATTACTTTTTTCATWTATYRAACATTAAAATTAAACATTGCGGTCAGCACATGCTCAACCAAGACCACCCACCCCCCTAACATTGGCGGTGAAGTGCACCAAAAACAGTATACTCAAACCGCCTCTGCTCGTCGCTAAACTCTAGTCGGCATAATATTATACTGCGCATTACTGCGACTACATTTGCCATTACTAACACTCAGCATATTAGCCGTGCCCAACGTAGGGAGTAATGTGCGACGTCGATGATGACAATCGTTACGCTGTTTTACCATTTTTTGTAAATGGAACAAAATACCTACATAGTATTAATAAGGACCGCAGAATCGTCGAATATAATGTAATAATTCTATTCTAAATAATGAATGAATTTGATAATTGAATATTTTCCAATTTTAGTTATGATCACCGGAGGCGGTGTGTTTTTTTAATATAAAAATATGTCTTACTGGAAAAACTCTCACGCACTATATAATAATCGTATACGATAATTATAAACATAATATTATTATTTAGTTTTTTTTTTTTTTAAAGAGTAATTATTAACCTGTCATGTTCACGTTGTTTCATCATTTTTTTATTCCTAAATATATTTAAAGGTTAAAAAATCAAAAAAACTTATCTAATATTAATACAATTTCAGTTGTAAAACAGACCACCATTTTGTATTTTATATTATTAAGATCATATTTTTATTCCTAAATATATTTAAAGGTTAAAAAATCAAAAAAACTTATNTTGTAAAACAGACCACCATTTTGTATTTTATATTATTAAGATCATATTTTTATTCCTAAATATATTTAAAGGTTAAAAAATCAAAAAAACTTATTTAATATTAATACAATTTTGGTTGTAAAACAGACCACCATTTTGTATTTTATATTATTAAGATCATATTTTTTTAAATAAAATTCTGAACGGAATGATCAATGATCAATGAATTGATTTTAATATGATGTGAGTTTTTTATATTGGTTTATACCATAAGTAGTGAAAATATTGTTTGGATTTTCAGCTTCAGTAGTTTTTCTGGTAAAAAATTGAATCCATTAAAATGATAATCATTCTATACAGTGTGTAAAAGAAAGATATGACATTCTGTCATATTTTTTATATATTTCATTTGGCTTATATTTCTGTTACACTCTGTATATCTACTGCACAACAAATTGGTATTTAATCAACCATATTTTTGTATCTAATAATTTAAAATGCGTTAAAATTTCAAATTGTAAACTAGTAACTACTTATGCACTTTAATGACTAAACTATAAGTTAAAAATTGTTCTGTGAAAAATTAAACATATCAACTAAACTTATATATTATTATGAAGTTATGATTAATAATCGATTAGGTAATCCATATGCTCATAAATTAATAAAATTTTATTTAAAATAATAATAATATTTATTATACAATATAGTATACCACTTACAATTATTTCTAATCGGTTTTTGAAAACCACTAAATGCTTAGAAATTGAGTTTTGTATAGATCAAATAGATTTATGAATTTTTGTTTTATTATTATCTATGGGAGACACATACAATTTAATCGAATAGGATAACGGTTCTGGCTAAAATAATATGTGTAAGAATTAATTGAATAGTTTTCCTTTTCGAAATATCAAAACATAATTTTATATCTAAGAAAAAATTGAATTGCAAAATAACATATTATAACATAATGTAAAACTATAATACTCTTGGTTAAGCTGATGATCTTTTTAAGTTGATGCTTAAGCAATAAATAAAAAATAAATACATATTTTTCCATGACTTACCAGTCGTATCATTTTATCTGATGTGTTTTTATATTGAATGAGTTATATGCAAAGATTAAACTATGATGAATTATGATAAATTATAGCACGTAGCTAATTGTCTACGAATAATTACAAATTATCACATGAATGGACAAAAAAGATATGTTAATAATATTAAAACGCATAAAAACGCATACAATTCAAATTCTTTTATTTTATAAATTTTATTAATCGTATGTTTTACGTGCGTTGTTTAAAATAACCGAATTTTGGATATAACTTAGTTTTAGAAATAGTCCTCATGATAATTCGTATAAATATTTACCATGGTGGAACTAGAAAATGTTAAATTTGACACATTTTGTGATTTTTGAATGCTTTGCAGTACATACGCACAATTCATGATTTGACCTATAAAAAATTATCTGTAAATAAACAATCGTTATAATATTACAGTGATCACGCCACGCCGTCACCCCACTTACAACCGATCGGCGAGAACGTATATAAAGGCGTCCGAGATTCTGATTTCGGCATAACACATTTTTGTGAAGATCTATTTTCTGGTTAGTACGAAATAACGACTGTGATAGTTGAATTTTCTGTTTTCAAATTAATGATAATTTTTTTTGAACTTGCAGTTTACACATTTATCCACAAAAACCAACCAACAAATCCAAAATGGGTGCCGAAAAAGTAACCATGAACATCGTCGTCGTTGGACAAGTCCAATCTGCCAAGGCCATCAAATCGGTCGCCAAAGCCACGCTAGCCACCAGCCAACAGATGGTAAGTGCATGATCAAATTTTGATCTGATTTTCAAATAAAAAAATAATATGAAACAGCGTTTATTGATTCTTAATTTGTTCCGTTGTTTTTGATATTCTGTACATGCGTTTATTTTTTCATTTTACAACTTATATATTATATATTCAAAAATATTTTGCACATATTATATAGGATGTCTTACGATTATCTGACATACCTATGGAATAACTTATGTTGTATTTAATATTTGAACATTTTTCTATATAATTTTTTTATTTTTTAATATTAAAAATAAAAAACTTAAAAATTGATAAATGGATAAATTCAAAATAACCTATTTTTGAATCTGATTAGAAGAAAAATTTTGATGGTAAAAAGATTTATCTAAGTCAATTAGTTTATTTTTTAGATTTTTTTTTGGTTATATATCAATTTGAAACATAATAAATTTTTTAAAATAAAATTTTTGAGAATTTAATAATATGAATATATTTTTATAATTATTAACTCATCATAATATAAACAATTTTTGTCATACGTTTAATTAACATCATTTTTTTTTTCGAATCTTGCTGATACACCCTGTATATACTCGTATAATATATGTGCCTATATAGATTTTGTTTAATTTAAAAATCAATTCAAAGATAATCATCACAAAAACGTATACCAACTAAAAAGATAATAATATAACATTATTTTATAGTTTTAATTTGATGAAAATAATGACTAAAAATGTTTTCAAGATTATTATTATTATTATGTAAACAATAAAATCAACTTTTTTAAAGTATTTTCGCGTGAAAAATTAATCATCAATTTAACTTACGATAATATAAAACCATTTTGCATTTATATTAAATATTATAAAACTAATCAGTCTAATTTTAATTACGTGGTATCTATAATTATTATTTGTGTTATTATTTTTTTAAAAACATATTAAATAAATAGAACCTAATAAACAATATTAACTTTTGTTATGCAGTAATTTTAGTCCATACTATATTATTATTTTTTGTTGAACTTTAACGTCTCTAACACATAGTAACTGTTAGAAATGTTTGAATTCGAAATAAATTCCTTTTTTTTTAAAATAACCAATATTACGTTCTGATAGTGTTATTAATTCTGCATTCATGATAAATGACTTCCATCATTAAAACGTACATTTTATTTTTGTTTTGTTTCAGAACTGCTAATTGATGTAGTCCATACATTGCAAACCTCAAAAATGCCTTAGCCCAAACAATACGATAATAATAATAATAACATTATGTAATTTATTCAGTATTGACACCGTAAAATAAATCAGTCGTTTCCKATGTACTTACAAATCTAGTGTATATTTTGTTTTGTTGTTTGTACCTCTTTCATTGTCCATTATACATATCCGTGATTATTAATTAATCACGATATGACGTCATTAGATCATAATATATTCTACCTACCATATTTTAGAAATCTATTATCATTGTGTATTATGTCAAAATAATGAACACAATACTCGTGTAATAAGTACCAATAGTAAAAAAGGTACTTTGCATTGAAAATCGTTCAATATTAGATTTTTTTATGATCAAACATAGATTGTTATGGTAATATAAATGGTCGTTCAAAAAGGTCTTAGAGATCAATGAAAACTGTATCGCGGTTTTAGATGATTTAACTAAAGTGCATTCGCAACCAAAATGTTAAAATGATTACACTATTATTGACTTCGACTGTTATCGGTTGGTCGAAATCAAAGTACCTAATCAGATGTTAACCTTTCGTAGTACCTATTCGGTCATTGAGACTTTTGAACACTAAGTCTTGTTGTGTACTTTTATTTATAACAATATAAAATCTAGAGTGATGATGGACAAGAATTGGTGTAATATCGATGAGTGTGATTTTTGTTATGTAATTCAGTTAAAGTGAGGTTAATATCGCTAATGTTGTAATGTGGAAGAACATAATTTTTTAATTTTTTAAGCATATATATATATTTAAGTATAATAATTATTTTATACATTAAATTATTGTTTACGATTAACTCGATCGAAATGTCTTGGGTTTTAATTTGTTTGTTTGTCAGCCCTATCACTATTTGATCAAAATAATCTGAGTGATTGGTAAAATTAGATTACTTTTAGTACCTATTAGTTCAATTAAAAAAAAAAAATGTTAAGATGGTTTTGATTAGGGCATTAGGCAAAAAAAATGTGAAAGTTTGTATTAAATATTTTTTTAAAGATTAGTTGAATATAAGACATTGAGAATTCGAAAAATGTTTATTTTCGTCAAGAATTTGTTAAAATTGAAAAAGTGATCCGCTGATTGATGCAAACATATCTTGAACAATTCAAATACTTTCACATTTATCAAATCCGATCTACAGAATTTAAATATACTTAATTTTAGTCAGCTGTATATTTTTAGCTATGTTTAGTTATGTGCATGCATAATATTTATGATGTGGGTGATGGTTTTGAGGTACCCACACACGAATGATTATCAATCAATTCAAAAAGGAGCGATCATTAAAAATAACGAAATCTTCAATTTCAACGTACAAGCTTTGATAGTTAAATTGATCTAGATTTTTATTTATTTTATTATTGTATTGAATAACTATTAGAATTGTATTATTGATATATAAATAATTAGTTTTATACTTTTATGTCTAAAAAAAATGTAATTGTACAATGACATCATATAATGTAATGTAAAAATGTAATTGATACTCTTGTTAAAGCTAACCTAACCTTTGTAGTTGATGCTTAACCAATAAATAAAAATAAATAAAATAGGGTGGTCTCTCGATGAAAACACTAAATTATTACCAATTTTTGATTTTTTTAATATTTATATAAAATTAAAATAAATATAACAAAATATGATTTCTTTAATGTTATACTGTATCGAGTGAAATATTATTTCTATTTATTATACCCTACAATCTCTACAGAAATACTCTGTCTATTACCAATAGGTAGTAAATAATAAATATTTAAAATTAAAATAAATAATGAAAAATATTTTTATGGGTATACATTTATTCGTTTCTGCTGACATTTATTATTATTTTAGAATTTCCGTGGCAATCGCAATAAATTTCCTTCTATTTTTATCCGATTCAAACTATTGGCCTCCATTATTGCCCTCCTAATTTAATGAAATCTTTTTCTAAATCCATTCCTTTCCCATCGCTTTCTAAGTCTACCACGCAATCTCTTCTCCTCAGGTCTCCTCCGTAAGTGAGTGTGGGTCTTATCATCGTAGTGTATAATCTTATTTTGGTGTTTTTTGAGATTATAAAATTAGGTACATTAGCAAAATTAATATGATAACATGAAACTTAATTAGCATTGAAATATGAAACGCCTCATAGTATTTCTGAGCAAGACAAATAAACAATGATAAACATTAACATAATATAATGTACTCGGGTTCTGGTATTAGTTTGGTGATGGTTTCGAGTGTGTTTACAAATAATCCTCACATACGAATCTGAGGTCTATATTTTGTAAAAAATGATATGTTTCTCCTACCAAATAAATAAATATTATATAATAAATCAAATACAACAAAGACTATAATTGCATTAAAATGTAGTAATTGTGATTAACAAGTAACACATTACCTCTGAGTCATGGTCTGAGGATCAGAATTACAATATTTGTTTTTGTTTTTATAAGCAATTTAAATATGTGTTTGATTTTTTATAATGTCAATAAAAATGTTCATCTCGGTTTCGATTTTTTTTTTAATGTATAAATAAATATATTATTATGTAGGTAGATTGGTCTACGGCCATTAATAAAAATAAATTAAAATGTGACTTCAAATAGTACGGCAAGTACTTCCTATACAACTACTTCACTACGTTATGATATTCTGCGTTCGTCAAATTAATAACGGCAAACTATAAACGATATTTTGAACATCAGATTGCACAAACAAATAACGAACAAGTTTTTGTTTTTTAAACGGAAGTGAGTTATTTATTTTGCAATGTAAATACACATAATCATAATTAACAATGAACTATAAAATCGTGTACTGTTTGAGCTATGGCATTTTTTTAGTTTGAGATTGATGTGGACTTCATGAATTAACAGTTCTGGAAAAAACAAAAAATAGCCGATTAATACAATTATACTGCATTAAAAAATAATAATGCAACTCAGTTAAATAACAAAAAGTTAATCCTTTTAATATCATTTTAATATAGTTATATTATTGTTGTTATTGTTTAAATATTATTATCATTATACAACATACATCTGCAGCTTACTCAAAAGTATGACTTTATAACTATGTACATTTACCCGTATTATGTACCCGCAAACATTTTTCATTTTTTATTAAAATATATAATTTTGGTTTTTCTAGAAATTAAATGATTTTTGAAGATGTGATATTGATTTTTAAATTTTCGAACTATTATTGCCGTTATTGAATATTATCAGCTATATATATATACATATATATTAATACAATATAGAGATGCACTTTTGAAGTAAAAAAAATAGTAGCTTTAATAGATAAAGTGAAATATATTATGAATACCAAATTGTTAAGAAAGTATTACCATTGTTTCTCATTATAATTTTATCCATTTTCGAAGTATTTAAAACCTCTTTGGATTCTTTCTTCAGAGGATAAAAATATTTTTTTAAGTTATGATTACACATTTTATGATATAGATATTCTCCATGCATATATTTTTATACGCGACAAACGTTATTCCAAAACATAATTAAAAAAAAAAATAAAACAATTAGACTAATAATTTAATATACCTATTTAACACGGAAAAAATTAAATAAATACTAATTTGCACATGTATACTAAAATAAGTTTGATTCGAAATAACGAAGTGGTTATTGAAATTTGGAACACATAATTATTATGCACTCACCATCAATTGGCTGTTGGCTGGGGTGGCTTTGGCGACCGATTTGATGGCCTTGGCAGATTGGACTTGTCCWACGACGACGATGTTCATGGTTACTTTTTCGGCACCCATTTTTGGTTTTTTGGTTTGTTTTCGTGGAATAGCGTGAAGACTAAAAGTACAGACAAAAAATACAAAATATAAATGATTTAATTTAATATTCGCAACAAAAAAATATAGTTAATCGATGACGTTATTATAATATAATCATATGATTGGTACTCACTGAAGATTAGATTTGCACACAAATTGCGTTATGTCTGAATGAAGCACCGGTAGTCCTTTTATATACTGTGATTTTTAGATTAATGTACAAGAGCAGCGTGGTGGCGTGATTGTGGCAAGTGTTCGTTGTTGGTTATTGACTGATAGAGAGCTTAGAGGCGATTCGTGTACATGCATCGTACGTCGGACAATGTCATGATAATATGAAATTTTACCTAAAATGTTCTGATTTATTTTAACAGTAGAAACATTTGGTTTACTATATGTAAATGTCAATATAATATGTAGGTATACTCAAAGCATAAAGTGTCAAAATGTAATACTTACCAATATGATTTTTCATTGGTCGATTGTATAGATAGGTACATAATTTAAAACAAGAGATGATCAATTCCACAGAATATATTATTTTCTTCCATGGGCGCTTATGCTTAAATTTTGAGGAAATCTAAGATTTACACGTAACGAATTTATATTGAAAATTAAAAAACAAAAAAATATTTTAGTTTCTTTGTTGTTGCCTAATTGATCGGATAAATCGTAACACATTCTAGAAATACTGTACTTTGAATTTAATCAAAAAACCAGAAAATGTCGTTAGGAGTTTGAACCACGATCAAAAATATGTCAAGTTATGCATCTAATTCGCCAGTGGTGGATTTTTACTAATTTGGTCAAATTAGTTCACAAAACAAGATATACCTACCAATCCCTCTTTGACCGTGAACTAAGGTGCCTATCACTGAAACCAAAATAGGTTCATCGATATAGCACCATTTTCTATGTTAGTTTGTTCATTTGTTCCTGTTGAAGTAGGATATTGAATTTTAATAAATAAAAACATTACAATTTCAAAATATTTTTATTTGGTAGATTTATGTCTGGAATTCCAAACTGATGCCTATAATATTATGTTCAAATCATAAACCTATTCACAACGTTTAACGATATGTCACTTTTAGATCAACAAAATATAGAAATAATATGTTATAAATCATAATAGTATATATTATGATTTATAACAATAAAATAAATGCAAAAATATTAATAATGTTCTAATTATTTTTGCTTGTTTCAATTTTTATACATAGCAGGTAGCAGGTAACCTATGCTAACTGTTAATAATATATTATTGTGGCTTGGTGAGGCACGGTCGTACGCTCAATCTGCGGAAACGCACTGAGCGTACGTACCGGCCGCAGTTGCTAGCTCCCGGGTGGGTGACCACCCGGGATATTTAGCAACATATCCTTGCCACACATACACAAACACGTGTTACAACCCTACCAACTCAAAAACCTACAAACAAATATACTAAAATAACTCCTACCGTACCACCCCCACACCCAATGGCCTATGTTGCCGCGGGTTCCCCTCAAAAAAATATAAAAAAAAATATATATATTATTATATAAAATTATTTAAAATTAATACTTAGATTTAGTAACTACATGATTAATATATAATTAATGATTTCGCTTTAAGTCCAATGGCCTATGTTGCTGAGGGAATATGTGCAATAATAAAAAAAAATAACAATAATAATTTAAATTAATATTATATACTTAACACAGCAATTTTTCAAAATATCAAAAATTACTAAATTTTCTCGATTTAAATCTTATCAATTTAAATATTAACTAGTATAAATAAATGCATCTATGCAATATAGATTATACTGATAATCATTTTGCCTCATTCGCTAAAATGGCAAAAATGTATACAGAAAAAAAAATTTACCAATTTCAACTATTATTATTAGTAACCAATGACTGGCAACTGCTTAAACATACAAAGTTTTCCATTTCCATCGTAAAATCAAAAACGTAGAGAGAGTGCCTTTTTAAAATGCAGATTATGAAAAGTCTTTTCTTGGTGCACTCGTAACTATACGATAGTACTAACAGTACTATGGAAATATTAGTCTCAAGCCATCATAGTTTTTATTGTTATTAGGCTTTACGTTGATCAGTCAGTCAGTCAGGACAATTGTGTATATACACACTATATAGATTAATTTATTCTTGAGTTAATTAATATAACTAATCAATTTTAAGAGTAGATTTAAGTAAATACATTTATGTAAATATATATATTAGTCATGTGGTAATATAAACGAACATTTTTCTATAAAGTATGAATCTGATGAGTTTTTTAAAAATTAGTTTTCGGACTATTAGTAGTTTACAAGTTGTTAAAATATAATAAGTACACAGCAATAATAATAATATTTCTTAAAAACAAGTTTTAAAAACCAAAAAAGAGATGCAATATTTAGAATATATCTTATTATACTCAAATAACACTAAATCTAAATATTTGAAAATAAGCACAATTTAAATTAGGCATTTAAAAATTACCAACAGATCAATTAAAAAAATTATGCTAGAGCAAATACTTAAATTATTTACGTAATTTTCCCTTTGATGTGCAACATTTTTTTTTTCAAATTACAAATTTTTTACCATAAATTATGAATCCAACACTTTTTTAAATTATTTTTTGAACACGTAGTTTAAAAGTTAGGTGTTCGAATATAACTCGTATAATGGAAGTCCTAAAAAAGAAATTTTAAAAAATTTTAAAATATATTATGTAATGTTTGATTTATAATTTTGTTATACAAGGAATACATTAAATTTGAAATGAAAAATTGCGTGTGAGCATGCTAGACGAATTATCCAGTACACAAAAATAATTTTTTCAGATTTCATGGAATTCGAAATCTACGCACATCACACTTTTAATGATGACGTATATTGATAAACAAGCAATCTCTGCAATATTTTAATCAATACACCAAGCCATCTTCCCACTTACAGCTGACCGAGAAAAGTGTTTATTACGCACATGATCTCGATTCCGACATAACACAACTTTTGCGAAAATTTATCCTTTGGTGAGTACGAAACAATAGTAAACTTTTTTTTTTATTTAAAATGTTTTTATGACCATATTTTTTCCACTTTCAGTTTTCACTTAAATCGTCAAAAACCAACCAACAAAACCAAAATGGGCGCAGAAAAGGTATCCATGAACATCGTAGTCGTCGGACAAGTCCAATCTGCCAAGGCTATCAAATCTGTCGCCAAAGCCACACCAGCCACCAACCAACTTATGGTTAGTACGAGTTTTGTATTATGATTTATGTCACTCAAATGCAGTTGGATAGCTGCAGATTTTGTTCAACTTAAATTAAAATGTGTTTCAAGCAACTTTCGGGGAAATTAACAMAACATACACCACATAATATTTTAATATATTTTTTTTATTTATATACATATAAAATGTAATGTGTTATTTAATGTATATGATGAGTATAAAATTACTCTTTTTATACATAACTTTAATTTAAAGTTATATTTATGAATATTTTTTTCAATTTGTGTTAATGTAATTCAAAAGTATATTCTATATAAAAAAGGTTATTGTTTAATGATTTTCTTTAAAATAGATATTTTGTATTTTCCTATAATATAATGCAAATAACTATTTTTTTTTATAGTTTATTTGATTATATTCTTACTTATATCACTTTTATAAACCAAAACTAAGACAAAACAATAATGTTTTACAATAACTGTTAATTAACAAATGTATATTATACTATAAATTCTACAATTTTTAGTCATTTTTAAACCTTTCAAAGTCGAATGTTTTCTGTACTCGTATTAATTAATTTGCATTGTGGAACATGAAAATACTTTTAAGTAATCATTTAAAATCATGATAAATATAAAGCCTGTATATAGTAAATATACGATTAAAAATATACCTATACACATTTTAAAGCTGTTGTTTTTTTTTTATCTTATAAACTCGGCAACTGTAACCATTAGTTACAATTAAAATTTTTTTTTAATTTTAGTAATTTAAATTCAAGGGCATTATAATGAAACATAAAATATAAATTATTTATGTTTTAATTTTCGTTATATAATTACCTGCAAATGAAGTTTAATAAATTACAAGATTTTCATTTGTGAATATTTTAATTCAAATTATAATTTTTAACAAATAAAAGTTGATAAAATTGATTGTTATTTTCATTACGGAAATGTTATAATATGATATTGAACTAAAATTATTATAAATATTTATTTAAATGTTTTTTTTTTTTTGAAGTTTAAACGTTTAAATGATTTGTATATATTTGTTTTATTTCAGAACTGTTAATTTATGTAATCCATTCATCACAAACTTCAAAATTCTATAGCAGTAGCAGTATATGTAAGTCAAATTTATATTGAAAACATGAAATAAAACAGTCTTTTACGATATTGAACTTAAAATTTTTTTTTATGCCTTAATCTTTTAATTAACTATTCCAATTATTATGACGATACATACACATAACGCTATGTGTATTACTTAATGATTTAGAAATCACAAAAAATAGATACGAAGTTATAGGTTGAAAATGATGTCATTGATTACGAGTTGTCACAATTTTTGTAATTTATTTGGCAGTATTATCAAGCATCGCTTTCTTTCTCTTAATTGTTAATTGAAAATACAAGAAAAAAATCCATATCAACTACTTGTGTATATTTAACTGAATATAGGACATTTGAATACTCTAGCCGAATTACACTGATCTTAACAGAAAAAATGAGGTAATTTTTAATCGACTTATCATTGGCCACACAAAACTCACACACGGGCACCTCATGGCAAAGATAGATCTACCCCTATGTCCAGCATTGAAATACTAACTACTCCATCAAACATATCACCGTCCACCACCCAAATTTCAACGAATTCTGCAGGAAAGACTTCAACACCCCCGACTACCTATACGAAACAATTCGTTCATTTTCAAACTATCAAAACATAATTTTATAATTTTATATTTAAAAAAAAATCGGATTGTATAATAAAAAATAATGTAATTTAAAAATGTAATACTCTTGTTGAAGCTAATAAGCTTTGTAGTTAATGTTTAATCAATAAAGAAAAACAAATACGATTAAGTGTATTAAAATTGTATGGCGAAAAACTGAGATATATTAAGTTTTCGACTGATATAAAATTGGATTACTTCGATTAAAATCATATATATATATATATATATGCTTAACCTAAATACGGTAAATATTATTGAATTGT